TTGGAGATGACCTTGCTAGAGTCCTCCACTGCGAATCATGTCTTAGAATCATTGTCATGTCATCACAATTTTTGTCATAGATATCTATATGTATCACCAAGACTTAGTCCATAAGCTTAGATGCAGTGCGATGCCCAGAGTGCAACACGCCCTACCCTGCAGAACCGCATCCGGCAAGCAACATAAAACTGGCCAACATAGTTGAGAGATTTAAAACTCTGGATGTCCTGATGGCATCAGCAGCACCCGAATGTGCTAAATGTGTCCCCAGCCGCAGCCACGCAGTATGTGACTTGGAGGTCTGCTGCGACCACATGACAGTGAGTCAGCACATTCAGACAGAACTCCTGGTTAGTAGACTGAGCGGCACAGGGATGATAGACATGTAGAGCTGCCATCTAAGCTCCCGGTTACATCTCACCACTCCTCTCTCGTCTAGCAAGCGCTCCTGCAGCAGCATAACACATTCCTGGTACTGTATGTTAATGTAAGTTGCCGTGTTCTATCGAATGTTTGAGATCCTCCTTAGATCAGAGATCTGCACTAGCAGGAATCCCTCTCTTCCTTCTCCAGGGTTCTTCAAGCCGAGACACTTCTTCAAGGAAATATCACAGAAGGAGGAAAGCCTGGAGAAGCTCCTAGAAGGTAGGACCAGAGCAGCTGTGGCAGGGCTGGCGAGGACGGCCTGGAGAGCTGCTTGGTATAATGAGGCGTGAGGGGTCTGGTCTCCCCCTCTCTGCTCTTCCTGCATCCCATTTCCTCCAGGGTCTCCAAGTACCTCAAGAGGTTTCCTTTGGAACCTGGGAGGCAATGAAGAGGAAGACTTCCATGGTTTTCCCTGAAAATGACATTGACCCATCCTGCATGCTGCCCTGGAAAAAGCAGAGCTACACTACCCAGGGGTCAGCAGGGCCCAGCTCCGCCCCTGGTCCCTGTTCTGTCCGCTCCCAGGCCAAGCTCTGACCCCCAGAGCAATCTCTGCCCCCTGACCACGCTCTGCAACCAGGCCCAGCTGCTCCACCTGGGCGAGACTTTGTCCCTTGACGCAACCTGTATATGATTCTTATATTTGAGACTGAAGATGATACACACACAGATGAAAGTGAAGCTTGGGGTCGGATATCTATCTGATACCCCTGAGCAGGTGGGATTAAGGCCCAACAAACATATTATCACTCTGCTGGCTATGGTGTTTGAAGCGCAGATCCTCCGACCACAGTGTGAAGTATCACTGCAAACCACTGCATCACCATGCCACCCGAAATTAATTACGGGATGATTCAGATATGAGTGAGTTACATGGCTTAACATTACTGTTGTGTTAATTCTTAATCCAGTTTTAAACATTATCTTTCAGATACAACTCAATGTGTATTTTTGTTGTTCTACACCTGTCAAAGTACAGAGAGGAATTCCTCATAGATATATTCTGGGACCTATATTATTTCTATTTTTACAGTATAAATGATTTTGGGTACTGAACTGCATCCAGCAGATGATAGTTATTTATATATTAGTATCCTCTGTAAATGTAACCATGAAGAGTCTACAGACAGCTTTTCATTCTTTAGAAGTGTCATTGCGAATTTAGAATTGGTTTTAAACTAAAAAATAAAAATAAAAAATTTATGATATTCACTTGATCCTGTTTTTCACATGAAAAAGTTACTTTCTATAAAGATTTGGGAATGTAGAATGATGAAAAGCTGATATATAGTGTTCATATTTGTAATCTTTTATTAACACTTTTATTTTTTTAATGATTTCCTTTTGATGCACGAACAGGACTCACCATATTATGTTTTCAATATGGGATGATTATGTTAATATATGGAATGGATGCCAACACTAATCCTGATATTTTCCAAAAGACTTAATTGCACAATTGCACTTCAATATTCTTTTTGCACATAAAAAAACAGAACAATAAATAAACTTTCTTGTTATATTCTATACACAAGACCATCAAGATCAGTATTTACCAATCAAATTATTTTAAAACAGAACTCCTTCGTCTTTCACTTTCAGTAAGCCTATATCAATGCCTTGTTCACAAACCAGCAAGTAATACTGGTGAACAAATTAGATTATTTGGCTTGATGCTAAACTCTCCTCCTGACATGTGTCAATCATTTCTGGGTCGAGAGTACACATAAGTGGAAAGACTAGGAGAGGCACTGCTTCACTGCATGGGTTTAAAAACACGTCATATTCCATAACTATCCAATCAACTGCTACATAAAATGTGATGAGAAGTACATTGAAGTCTATTAGTGAAGTAGGAAATGTTTTGCTTCACTGAGTGTCCTTTAATCAAGCTGATGTTGCTGCTGCTGCTTTCCCAAATACTTTGTTAGACATTGATTTGAACTGCGGCACTTTTTCGTTTTACGTGAAAACAAATGTTCTGGTAATACACTGCATTTAAGCAATATTTTATGGGATATAAAACTGGGTTTCCTTCAGGTTATCTGCTTCACCCCTAAAGTCCAACAACATGCTGAAGTGAACTGAAGTTGCTAAAGTGTCTGTAGGTGTTAATGTGTGTGTGAATGGTGTGAGTGTGCCCTGTGATGGATTGACACCACGTCCTGGATCTTTGCCCAGTGCCTGCAACTTCTTTGATGGGATCCGAATCCCCGCACCCCTGCATAGGGCAAGCGGCCCTATTAATGGACTCAGTTTATTTTACTAGTATGTCTATAATGACTGTATTTAAGAAAAGGCTGCACTTGATGAAAGCTGTTAAAAATAGTATTATCAGTATTGAGGCCCAGAGCTGCTGCCTTCGTTCATTGCAGGGGGAACCAACTATCCTGGATTTCAGGAAAGAATGTTTCCCTCTCATATTTGGATCTTGAAGTACTGTATGTGAGTTGGCTATGTTTGGATATTGCGTAATATTAGTGTAATACTGTTTATTTTGCTCTATTGGGCATCGACATCTTACAGTAAGAGTATGTAGGATCGTTCATTTCAGAAAAGATGAATACTTTCGAAAGTTATTTCTTTTATGTTTTGCTAAAATTTCCCAGCAAAATTAATTCATTTGCGATGCGGTGATGTGACAAATTGACCAGCAAGGTACCACTGAGGTACCCTGAGCTCCCTGCTATGTCACGATGTCACATATGGGTTAAATGCAGAGGACACATCTTGTTGCTGTGCACTGTGTGCTGTGGTGTGTCAACAATGATCACTGCTCACCAGATGAAAAAAAATAATAATTAAATGTTACATCACAATGTTGGACCTAGTTACCTGAAGAACTGCTTCAGTGACTAGGGAGTGGAAGCTCAGCTTTGTCTGGATTAGTTAACTATTGGTGCGTGTTTTAACAAATCATGGCTTTTACTCAGCAGCCCAGGACTCAAACAAGATCAGAAGTGACTGACATAGTGAACAATTCCAATACTTCAAAATGTCACTGTAGGGAGGAGCGATTGGGACAGGTTTGCACTACAAAGATGTCTCTGTAGATTAGATTGTAATTGCATTCAGAAAGTGCTATGGTGGTATTTCTTTCATTGTTAATATGTTAACGTGTTTTTTAGAGTGCTTTTGGCAAATGTTATAAAATGAGAGACCAAGTCAGCGGTCAGAAGGAGTCGCTTAACAGCAGGAAGCCCACCAGGTCTGCGGAGTTACCCAGTGTTGATGGTGGGAAGCAGGCCGGTGACCATCCACTCAAAGGTGGACTCAACCTGGGCAGAAGAAGTATAAGACCAGGGTAGTAGGGCTATGTAGGGTTAGGTAGGGCTATGAAGGGTTATGGATGCCCCAGCATGTTCACGGGGCCCAGCACTTTACAAGGGCCCTTGAGTACATAAAGTATGTACTGTGCTGAAAGAGTAGGTGGTGTGGCCAACAGTTAGCCCATCCTGTGATCTGTATGAATTCCAATCCCCCAGTGCAGTGATGGGGACACTGTGCTGTAAAAATGGTGCCAAATGGTGGATGAGATGAAATATCAAGGTCCTGACTCTTCTGAGGTCATAAAAGAAAAGGCCGCAGTTTGAACCAGGACATTAGGGTACCACCTACTCTTTTGAAAGATGCCTGGATCTTCACCCATATAAAGTTTCTCCAAAGTTTGAAAAAGATCCATCAAATACTTTCTGAGTCTTCGCACTAACGGGATTGAGTGTCCGAGTTCTCTTTGCTATCACTATGTAACTCTGCTTCAGGTTTCTGGGTGATCTGCCTCAAAATTAAATCATTTCCAGTTGCAAAAATTAGAAAAATATCCGTTAAACACTTTTTCTGTTACCATCTTAAGGAGAAAGTGTGTGCAGCGGCAGTGGCGGACCGACCTGAAAACCCTATGTATCGTCCCATTGGGGAGTACTATGTATTGAAACTGGACGGATCCGCGGATGTATTTCACCAGCTGTTCAGCAGAGGGCGACAATAGCCCTGCACCTGAACGAGTGAGGATGGAGAGGCAATCGGTAAAGATGTATGTACATTTCAGCATTAATCTCCAACCTGCCCTGCACGAGTGCTATTAAATATTAACAGAAGATATAAGATTAACAATTGCAGAATGTACCCATTTTTTCCAAAATTAATCTTAAATCTGACATGACAGTCAGTTAAAACGTCTCTATAACAGTTTAAATCTTACAGTCTTTTTTTTTTTTTTTTTAATAAAATTGGGGTTTATAATTGAAATACATCGAAGAAAGTGGGACAAACCTTGAAGACTGAATACAGCAGATTACTACAGACGCAACTTGAGTTAGGTCATACATTCAGTGAATAACTACTGATCAAACCATACATACATTACAGCGGACTGTTCGCAGATTAATACAGGCTCGATGACGATCTCCCAGCGCATACAGTCTCATTAACGGGGACATTCGCTTCAGAAAGTACGGAAACGTTAGGAAAGGAAAGGCGAAAGCTGCTATTTATAAACTTCGGAGGGGAGGAGTCGCCGTAAATGCAGCCGGTATAAATGTCAGGGCTCCCTGGGGATCCTGATCCATAGGTCTGGCCATCCCTTCGGTTCCTCAAGCATCATGCCGGCCAAACCAGCCCCCATCAAGAAAGCCCCCTTGAAGAAGGCAGCCCCCAAGGCCGAGGCGAAGCCCAGCGAGCCCGCCCCGGCCCCCGAGCCGCCTGCCCCCGCTCCCCCCGCCGAGGCGCCCCCGGCTGAGCCGGCTCCCGCACCGGTGGAGGCAGCGCCGGCAGCCGAGGAAGCGGCACCGGCCGCGCCTGCAGAAGGTAACCGCGGACTCCACAAGGATAGAAACTGTCGGCGTGAACATACTTGATAAGTTATTATTATTATTAATATTGGTGATGATGGCGTTGTTAAAAGTCTAAGACGGGTTAATGGTAATTACATTTCTTATGTATAAAATGTAGACACAGTAAAAAAATTCTAATGCACTTTTACAGATATTCGGGTTGGTTTGCATTGTATTTATGATGAGCAGTCATTCTGAAGCCAAACAAAATGAATGCTACATAACTTGCAATACAAATATAAAAATAAAAGTTACGGCAAAATGTACTTGCTTGGTTTTGAAAAGGTAAGCCCCGCAGGTCTGTGCAGTTTTAATGTTAGAGGCACTAACTATTTTGTGTATTTTGCTCCACAAAAATATGCGATTTTTTTTACTGTATCCAGCAAAAAGCATCTCAATCCACATATACAGAAAAAACTGTTCCAGCTATAAAACTTGTGTTGAATCCAGAAGATGCTTTCAATGTTTTTATAGACAGTCATATATAGCATTACAGACAGTCCTGAAGGCTAATTAGTTCATAAAACTTTTTCACATACTTATATATTCGCTTGAGAGTCACAATTGAATCTCCTGACATTTGCCACGTATAACTTCCATCTTGTGAGATGTCACGCTTAACATCCCGCTGTAATAGGATACCGATGCCTCTTAATCGTCAGTTGCTGTATTATATTGACATTCTGAGCTCTCGTGTCTAACATGCTTGCGCTTCTCCGCTAACCGAATGTGTGACATTTAAAACCAGCTGCAGCTGCTGATGACGCGTCTGCCGCCGCTCCTGCCGCTTCCGAGGCGCCTGCAGAGGGTAAAGCGCTTTTTTCTTATGGGACGTGGGGCATCCAGGATACTACCGATATTCATTAGGAAATGAAGATCCAATCATTGCTCCTGTAACTTTTTTTTTCTCCTTTCTGTATTAGTCGGGATCTTTAATTGGATAGTGGCAATGTAACTGCATTTCTCGCCTTTACTAAGTGTGACGCTAATTTAAATGCACATTTACCCATTAACTGCAGCTCCTGTAGCACCTCCACCAGAACAACCCAAAGCACCGACCCCTCCTCCTCCGGCAGGTAAGGTGGGACTCAAAAATCACGTTCTTGTTTGACACCATGTGACGGTTAACTATGAAAGGTATAATGAAAAGGTATAACTGTATTACTGCTGTATGCCACCTGCCTTGTGTTGCTTAATGCAGTTCCCACAAGCGAACCGCTGAACTTGAACGTGGATGACGTCAATGACACGTCCGTCACCATCAAATGGAAGACACCAGAGAATCTCGGGGACTCTGGCCTGGACGGGTACACTGTGGAATACTGTAAAGACCAGAGTAAGTACCTTGCCCTTATACTGCATTGTAACTATAATCAGAAAAGCCAGGAAAACCTTGGATCCTTAGCTCCTGTTTACGACCAACACTGGCTGATCTCATGGTACTCCATTTCCCAGAGTTACTTATCCAGTGTTGGATGAGGGGAAGCAGGTTTTTGGGCACCGGATGGGATGCTGTGTCTGTTAACAGAAGGTCACCAGCTCAAATCCTAGGATTGGCAGATTGATGTCACCATTGGCCACTTCAGTGAGGCCTTTAACCTCCAGTTGCTGCAGGGACTGTCTGACCCTGCTCCCTCAAATGCACGTTGCTTTGGAAAAAGTGTCAGCTAAATAAATCAAATCTAAATGGAAGAAGGAAGCACACGCATGTTCACGGGAAGGACAATATAGAGATGGAGATCCACCAAAAATATCCTGTCTTTGGAACGTGTGAGGAAACACTAGGAGGACATGAGAACCAACTCACACATACACAAACCCCCCCGGGTGTGATGCCACAGCACTACCCCCTGAGAGAACAGGCGAATACCAAGAACACCAAGACCGTACTGGTGGTCTTGGCAAGACCGGTCTTGAGAACTTGCCTTCCAAGAATGATCTTGCAAGATCATGAGGACAAGAGAACGCACCAATTGTGGATTGAGACACATGTGTACTTGCTGTTCCATTATACTTGATGTCCAGCTGATGACCCCGGCCTTAATTTTTATCGTATTTAATAAATGACACATAGTCGAAATGTCCAGTCCGAATGACTAATTATTCCTGGTATGATTACTTGTGCATCTTTCACAAATACAGTTTACACTTAAAATATTCGTAGTTATTTCAGCTCTGCACAAACACTATACAGGGGTGTTAACCATTCCAGTTCAGCAGTTTCACGAGGCAAAAAAGTGAAAAACAGCGGGAAAATACTCTCTGAGAGGAACAACAGAAACGTTAATCTGATTAAGGTAACTCCAATTAAGGTGGTACAGTTATGGTTCATGCCTTCATCCTCCACCATCACAACGGCACACAATGAATCATGGGAATGTTCTCAGTTGGCAAGGATGCACCCGATCCATTCCTGATATTTGGGGCAGAGCAAGACATCCGGGTTTTCTACTGTCCTCTGCTCTTGTGATCTTAGAACTGGAACTGGTCTTCGGCAATGGAAGATGACATAACACGCGTACAGGAGAACATACGTACGGTCACGTACGCATATTGAGATTCAGCGCCTGTGTCACCTAATCTCCCATAATGCATAAAAAAGCTAGTCACTCAGGTCTTTGATTGGCTGAGAAATGCCTCTGGTTGGTTGAAGGGCTCGATTCAGGCGTAGGCAAGCGAATCAGCTGCCAGTCGGCACAAGGAGACCCAGTCAATTAAACTGCGTATGTGCTGGCAGAAAAAATCAGTATGTTGATGGGAGGGGCCCAAAAATATTGCCTGCCTAGTGTTCAGTGAGGGCTTAATCCGCCCCAGCTGGGTATGTCATGAGCAGTTGATTCTTGACGTTTCCTTGTTATATGAGAAGCCCATCTTTCAAAGATCACTGGTATTAATGCTAATTACTGTAATAACCCTGATCGAATTAGGCCTAGGAGAGATTTTTATGGTATGTGATTATGGGTGTTTGGTCCCTGTTTAATGACATTATTTTATGTTTAGATTATATCCCTCATTTATTGCTTATTATGTAAAATGGTGTGGAATGTATTTCGTTTAGCATTGGATCCAGTTACAGAACTGTGTAGAATTTATAGAATTGGCTGCTGTTGGATTGTGCAAGTGCACTTGGACTCAAGTCAAGTTAAAAGCCCCTCTCTTGGGAGGCTTAAGTGCTACGTTGTAAGACTGATTGGCATCACTGCCAGGGTCAGACAGACTGGCATCGCGCACATGTCATGCTTCACGGGTCCCACTGAGTTTTCACTTCTCTGTGTTTCCTGGCAGCTTCCGACTGGGTGGTGGCCAACCCTGAGCTGGTAGTCACAAACCGCTACGTCATCAAGGATCTGACCGCCGGGGATCTGCTGCACATCCGCGTGAAGGCGGTCAACGCGGGAGGCCCCAGCGCCCCTGGTACCCTGGCTGAGCCCATCCGGGTGCGTGAGGTGGTCGGTGAGTAGCCCGGACCTGTCAGTCATCACCGTGGTTACGTTTGTCAGGCAGATATAGTTATACAGCACTTTATTTTTTAGTTGGGCACCAGGAGGACAGAAACCCTTCATCAGGTTGTATATTTTTGAAATGTTAGTATATAAAGTAAATGCTCCCGTGCCAAGCGGCGGTGAAGTCACTTTCAACTGATACCAGGTTGCCGGCAGGCCGGGTCAAATTTAGGAGGCGGAGGTGGATGGTCCGCTGCCAGAGGTGCCCGCCTCGATGGGCTTCGCAGCTGCCTGTGTAAATTTTGCACTTTGCGCTGACATGGGCTATCATCGGAGGGGAATTATGAACACTAATGCCTGGGAAGTGTGTCACGGACAGAGCCAGAGGTCAGGCTGATCCCTCACACCTCCGAGGGCTGGGCGCCTGAGCCCTACTTCACACTGGGTATTGAGCTCACGTGTTAACCCCCTGCTGTGCGTTTGTCCAAAGACGCAGTGATTGGTGTCTCTGAAATGAAGTGTGAATGTGAGTGAGTGTGTGTGTGGGTGAGTTTTGAAAAGGTAAACCCCACACCCCACTGCAGACTTGTGTGGGTGCAGTGTACCCCAGTCCTGTGCCCAATGGCATCTGAGATAGCCTTTAGCCACCCCCCTCCCAACTTGACCCTGACCAGCATACTTGATTAGAAGATGGAGGAATGGAATCATGTTCTTCCAGGAGATAGACAGTGTAGACGCTACACATTGTTCTGAGGGGTCTGAGGTAAACTGCACATTTAATCAGGCTACGTTACAAGCAGTGATGCAGGCAGTTCACTGAATTTCGCTAATTATTTGCTTTCACTTAATTTCCCCCCGGGCTTTTGAAGCTGAACCCACTTTTCTCCTAAACATGTTTCTGGATTTTGACCTCTTTCCCTGAAGTGATCATCATCTGTTTGTTAACATAGCAGAGTAGAGGATCTTCGTTAGTGACTGGATTCATATTTTTAGGATTTTAAGATCTGTATCTGGAACAGGAAAACTTTTTTGCACCATAGATGAGTCACTCATGTCATTGAAAATGACCGAGAGAGAAGGAATTCCTCTGAACAATGAAACTAGAATTTCTTGAAGAAAGGCTCTTTATTTACTTAATTTATCTGAATTGCTATTGGGCTTGTGCCAGGGAATTGGGTGTTAGGCCACATTTACTACTTAAAGTAACATTTAGACCAGAATCCCAAATTGGTTTCCTTTGACACATTGCATGCTAAGAGATGCCCATGAAAGCCGTCGATGTCAAGCACATCATGGAAAGTCGCCACGGCGATAACTGCAACCGGAGCCTCCTGAGTCGAAGAGGATGGACTCACCCGCGAATTGCTGGAACATAGCTGGGAGGCGCAGCCATTAACGTGGATTAGGGGAGCAGGAGTGCGTGATGTTTAAAGTCCCTGTGGTGGAATGTGGAGTGGGGGGGGGCGAGGCACTGATACCCCAAGCAGACTGATAGAAGCAAGTGTGGGGGGTGAGAGGGAGGCATTCCGACGACATGGGCTTGAGGGGGGGGGGTTCAAAGAATATCCTTGGCAGCTTTGTTTAGACCCAACTGTTCAACTTCTTTGCATCCTGCTACCTCCATAACCATCCTTGGAATGAGGACAGAATGACACTGGCTTCTCTGGTACAGCATGATAGGACATTTCTCAGAGTCAGGTGGACATTTTCCCAGCATGGGGAGTGTGCTGCTGTCTGCTCTTCAGGGCAGGTTTTGTGCTCCAACCAGGAGTGTTCAGCCAGAAAAGGAGCTTAAGCAAAGCTTTTTGTCCCACTTCTGATTCTTGGGGGGGGGTCTCCTTTTTATCCAGCTTTACAGATCGTGGCCATCACAGTAATTCCACCCCCCAACTCCCGTCGGATTCAGACTGAAAGATGCGCCTTACACCAAAATCTTTTTTGTACTGGGGCAGCATAAAAAAAAGCATCTGAGTGCCTGGTTTAATTTTAGCTCCTTGACATGTGTTTCACGGAGACTGCAGCATGAAGTCCTGTCCATTTAAGGATGTCAGGGACCTGTCATTCTTAGCATGTGGCCTCCTACTTTGCATGCACTTGGGACATAAAGCTTATGCTAGCTTGGTCTCCCCATATATAATAATAGAATAATAAAAATAAATTTTGTGGTTTGTATGTATGGGATAATAAGTTACACAAAAACGTGTTTGATACATTTATTGTGCAAATGATACTTTGTAATACAGAGTTCTGCAGTGTTGCTTATTTCTTCTCCCTTTTGGGTTTCAGTTGAAATAGTGAGATTCCCTAAGAGTGTGTATGTTGCATTCCTCCTAGTGCATTTCCCATGTGCGGAGCTCTGTTCTCCCTGTCGTTCGCAGATCGCCCAAAGATCCGACTGCCCCGCTTCTTGAGATCCAGGTTTGTCAAGAAAGTTGGCGAGCAGGTCAACCTCGTCATCCCCTTCCACGTAAGAACGGGTCCTCTTCACCGTTGGCACGCCAACCTCCGGCTGTGTCTCTTAGCTCTGCTTGATTCTGTGTGAAGTGGCCAAAGCACTGGTCTGTTCACCTTTGCAGGGTAAACCCAAACCCACTGTGACCTGGACCAAGGAAGGGCAACCTGTGGATCCAAAGAAGGTCAGCGTGCGCAACACCGACAGGGATAGCATCTTGTTCATCCGCAAGGCCGAGAGGGATGACTCCGGCAAGTACGAAATGTGCGTTAAGGTCGAGAGTTTTGAGGACAAGGTCATGATCGTCATCCAGATTGTCGGTGAGTGCCGCTCGAGATGCGTCGTGCTTTCTGCGCCTGTGGCGTTTCCTTACATTTCCATTATCTTCCATAAATGTTGCTATGGTGATCTGTGTTGAACTACACTGTAATTATTCAAGGGCTGACCTGCCATTAAAAAGACTCACTGTGTTAATTCCAAGATGGCACAAGCTGTTGTGCAGCCCATCATAAAGTGGCCCTTTAAATCGGTTTAGGTCATATCCAGATGTACGCATTTTAAAGCTGTGCAAAGCATTAATCATTAATCGTAAATATTAAATAATAGGTTCTATGTTAAAGCATCTTACTGCACACCTTCATGTCTGCCATTTTTGGCTACGGATCTTTCCATGCTTACCTAGGCCTCACCTGAAAAAAATTCACCAAGCAATATCCATGCCTTTCTTTATAAGTGAGGACTGTAAATTACCATTGTAGGTCAGTAGATGGGTGGTATTACTATTGTCTGGCCTCTCCTTGGTCCCCTGCAGAGCTCCCTGGACCTCCTACCGGTATCAAACTTGTGGACACCTGGGGCTTCAATGCTGCCTTGGAATGGACTGCACCCAAGGACAAGGGGAATACAGAAATCACCGGGTATACCGTGCAAAAGGCTGACAAAAAGACCGGGGTAAGCTGACTCCATGCTCATTTCATCAATTTCCATTTCCTTCTCTACAGCTGTTCAGGTTTTTTTCTTTGTGGACACCCAAGGCTGCGTCTGGTGTTGGTGCAACATCCAACAGGCCAATTTAAACAGAAAACACAAGTCAATGGATTGTCTCACACAGGATAATAGCTGAGGTTTATAGCTCATTTAAAAAACAAATTATTTCTGAATCAGAATTCTTGTAATTGCACGATTGTACATACTGTACAACTGAAAAAAAAAATTGCTTGGATCGTTATGGGAACAATAAATAATAAATGACAATAAACAGTAAACAATCAATGAATAACAAAAGAAAAAGGGCCTGTATCACGAAGCAGGATTTCTTGCTTAGATGGATTAATTGTCAGATTTAAGATGGTCTGGGCTGAATGTAAGTGAACGAAGATAAAGGGCATTTTAAATGGTTTACATCCGACAAGTTATCCAGCTAACCAGCACATTGTGATACAGGCCCCAGGATGTATAGGAATAAATAAGGTGACAGTGTACAGATATAAAGTGTCGAGTGTGAAGAAACAGGTAAGTGTGGGTGAAGCTCAGCTTCCCTAGTTTGTTGTCAAACTTCTCTACTGAAAAGTGCACTTATCTTCTGGCCTGGGAAGTTCTTTTGAAAAGGAGTGTAACTTGACCAGAAGCACACTGGGATGTGCAAAACTGACAGTAACGTAAAACCATTTGTACCAGCAGGGTGTTTATTATTAACTTTGTGCAAAGACGTCAAGGAGTGTGAGTGTGGGAACGCTGACTCACCAAAACATTTGGGTCTGCAGCTTTTTTGTCCCACGACTCCTTCCGTGCAGAGAGGGGATGGTACAGACAGGATGGGCCAGAGATTCTGTCCCATTCGGGTCTGCGATGATCAGGGCGCCGTTTCAGCACATAAAGCAGCATTATGGGATTGCAGGGGGGTGAATGATTACTTTTCCCCAGAGCACTGACAGAGGTTTGGCATGGCAGAGTGGGACAGTTAGGATTGGATGGTTGTGAACACTTCTTGGTGATAAATGGTGTATGTGGGAGGGGGGAGGGTGGCTGTCACATGGTGATCCGAGGCCTAAATTAGCCCCTTGCCAAGTCTGTAAGTCTAAACCTGGTATAGGACGGGTAGATGCAGGGGAGGGTCTTGGACTCGCTGCTCTATATGGCCAGCAGGACTCCTCTCTGCTCTTGTAAGGGTGTCCGAGACGGGTAACAGATGCCAGGGCTGGACGGGCCTCCTCATTGGACGCCGGGGGGTGAAATGGAGAAACGCGTTGCAGAATATTACCCAGCGACTGTCTAAAAAATGAGCACATAGCTGGACAGCGCCAACGGAGTGTCGGCATGGCGGTGGATTAGCCTGCATGCAAAGACACACAGACACACAGTGCTTAGTGTCGCGCCAGGACTTCTGCAGACTTTGCGTGACGACTAGGATTGCCAGCCGTCCCTTATAATACGGGATGATCCTGCATTGGAACATGCTGTGTCTTGTATTATACGAGATGATGGTGGAAACCCTAACAGCAACCTGGTCCCTTGCACAGACTTCTCTGTCTGTTGCACTATACCCCAGCACATACTGTAGGACTGGCCAGTTTTCCACCTCTTACTTACCTACTCCTTTGTAGCAGTCAATATTTGCATTATGTTTGCATTCCACTATATGTTTACACTGAATTGTATTTGTGTTTTTTGTCATAATTGTACTCATATTTATTGTCTTTTTGAAGCATCTTAATTTTTATTTGTGTTTTTTGTTTAATTTGTGTGTATCATTGACCAGAAGGACGTGCAGAGTAAGATTTTCATTGCATACTGTAACTGACTGACTGTGTACTGTACATATGACAATGAACTCTGGAATCTAGAACCTTGAAATGAAATATCATATTTCTGTGTATTTAAGTGTAGCACTCTGCCTACTACTCTGCCTGGTTACGATTAAGTTTCAATACTGGTTTTGCTCAGGGTACAAGAACACCATCAAGGCGTGATCGTAGCGCACTCTAGTTATAAATCCCATTCCTGTTCATTGTAAATGAACATTCCTGGCTGTCCTTTCTAATCTTAGCTAATGCTGATAAGTCTGACGCTTACCTGGATGATCATGTGGTTTATTTGGACTACTTGGCAAAGTCACTTCCCCACGTGTGTTTTCACATTTCTGAAAAGCTTTTCTTACCATAAACCCTGTTTAATGTGAGGTTGGCCGTCCCTCTGTTCCTTGTCTCCTCTTTCCTTGTCTTTCCAGAACATGTTCCCTTGAACATTCATTGGGCCGTTTTTGTTCTGTTACAGGAGTGGTTCAGCGTTCTGGAGCACTACCACAGACTGAACGCGACCGTCTCTGACCTCGTCATGGGAAACTCGTACTCCTTCCGGGTCTTCTCAGAGAACAAGGTCGGCAGGAGCGAGCAGGCCGCCGTGACGAAGGCGTTCGCCACCATCCAGAAAACAGGTGCAGTGTTCCTCTGTGACCTCCCCCCATGACAGCTGGCGGCCAGAGATCCTGCATGGAGCCGTGAAATAGCCAAATGTTTTGGTTTGGGAAAAGGAAACACTAGTGGTGTTAGCTCACCCAACCCCCCAGCTGACGGAGCTGTCGAGGAAGCAACGCCTTTCACAGACACATTCATATCTGTGTAGAACCCATGTTGGGAATTCAGTCCCAACAATAATTTCCATTAACTGCGAAAGCAAGGGAAACATTTATAAAGATTCCTGTCCCTCCACTCCTCAGTAATTCACACGCAGCTGCTTTGACAGGTTTTTTTTACAGATATTTTGACATGACTTTCATTTGATGGTAAAATACCCATTCATTTTCTGTACCCGCTTGTCCTGTTCAGAGTCACGGGGGGGGTCCAGAGCCTATCCCGGAGGCTACGGGTGCAAGGCAGGGAACAACCCAGCATGGGGCACCAACCCATAGCAGGGCACACTCACAAACCAGTCACTCACACACCAGTCACTCACACACCAGTCACTCACACATGCACACCTATGGGCAATTTGGTAAATCCAGTTAACTTCAGCATGTTTTTGGGCTGTGGTGAGAAACCGGAGTGCCTGGAGGAAAGCTCACGATGACATGAGGAGAACATGCAAACTCCACACACAAGGAACCGTAGCGGACACTCAAAGGTGTGAGGCAGAACCAGGACTAAACCAGGATTTTAAAATGCAGATTTGTCTAAAAACATAGAGTAGTCTCTTCATTTTTTTCCACGGCTATATGTACCTACAGAAGCAGTTGCTGTACTCCTTCACTTCAGATTGCTGTCAGATCTCCATCATGGACCTCTTGTGACCTGCAGGTATCGTCTACAAGCCTCCAGAGTACCAGGAGCACAACTTCACCGAAGCCCCCAAGTTCACCACAGCCCTGAGCAACAGAGCAGCCACCGTGGGCTATACCACTAAGCTGCTGTGCTCCGTGCGGGGATACCCTAAGGTAAATGTCCCAGCAACCACTGCTTCATTATCCTCCAACCCTGATCACTTTCTGGTCATTGCCCCGATTGAACAACAGTTTACAAATTATGGTGTTTTTAAGATGAGCACTGTGTTTAATTTATGCAGGTCAAAGTATTTTCATTGTTGTCTCAGCTATATTATTGTCACATGTGTTTGGAGGAATATAGTGAAATTCTTATGCCACAGTTGCAGGAGAGGGGTGCAGCGCAATACAGGACAGACAGCAGTGCAATGCAGGACAGACAGCAGCACAATACAGGACAATATTGTGGAAATATTGTGCAAATGTGGAGCATTACAGTGTGTAGTTTGATTTTAATTATTGAAATGAAAAGGATGGATTTACATAGATGCAGCAATCACTTTCTTTGCAGCGTGGTGACAGGGTAATGTTCTTTGCTGGATGGATGGTGTGTGTGTGTCTTAAAGGACCAGGGTAGCTATTATGGCTGCGGTTGGTCAGTGAGGGAGAACACCTGTTTTTATTTCTGCAGACTTTGTAGTTATTTAGGCTCCGCTGCAGGATCACACAAGATCACCGTTTGGCCTGTGCCAAGGAATGCTGAGGGTGGCTTATCTGGGCAGCTGAGAGCCATGAACGAGAAAAGCTCAGTGGAAAAATAAGAGCAGAGACAAGTGCCTCCTGCTCCCGGCTGCCTTGGCCGACACATCAGCCCGTGGTGTCTGGCCCCAGGACCTCGGGTTCGAGATACATGCAGTCAGCCTAAATGCCATACTACTGGCTCTCTACAGCACTCATCTCACAAGGGTCTACTAACATTGTACTCCTTGCTTCTGTTGAGGAACTTCAGCATGTGTTTTTTTTTTTTTTATTTGCTATAAAATTCTGCATATACCAAAATGCATAGTTTGGAAGACAGAGAGGGGATCTCTGCACCAAAAGCCATCAGTTGTATTTGTAATGGAGGTTCCACAGCCAGAGGTTGATGTGACAAGGCTGGCCCACTGCGTATTTTGATCATACATGTAGATTACAGTGTGACATGATGCCAATGATGCTCTGTAATTCCAGAAAAGTGTGGTATTCTACGCCAGGGTGGTGACAGAGTGGCTGTCACTCCAGTGCCAATCTAATGGCACTTTCCCACTTTCACCAAGAACCGAGCTGTACCCGCTCTGACATGGTCAATTGTAATAAATCCTCAGCTGGCAAAATGTAGTGAGGAAGGGAAAATGGGGTTTTCAAGCCTCTGCAAGTAGGTCATAGACTAACACGTTTGACTTCCTGTCCCTAATAGCACATTAAAGTGTGATCCTATGTGTCTTACACCACAAAAATAAATTGCCAACTCCGAAATGGGGCTACCAGGTACATTTGGGTCACTTGCGTCCACCAGGATTGCCCAACTCTCACTGACAAGGTCTTTTGTTCCAGGCGAGTGCCCATGCCAACCGGCCTCTCAAGTCGGCTACTTGGGAATAACCTTGCAGAGATGTAGATATAAATGTACGCGTCCATTGAAGAGAGCTGGATCACATGCCAAAACTTGATATAGATCCTGTCATAGAGAACAGGCAGAGATGGCAAGGAATACCAAGAAGTGCTTTGTTTATCTCCTGAAGCGAAGCGTCTGCCAGGTTCTGCCTCGTTGGGCTTCTTCTTGCCCCGTGTAACTCCAGCGAGCGGCTGTCTCACGCTTCTCGAAGCACTGGGCTGCTGTAGTAGCACCATTGCTGTGATTCGGCCAAAGCAGCCATATCTCAAGTGTCTTTGATGATACTCTTGTCAGTGTACGTGTGAGTACACTGTGAGTACCCTGTCGTTTCCTCCTAGCCCAAAATCGAGTGGATGAAGAACCAGATGATCATCGGCGACGACCCCAAGTTCCGGCAAATCAACAACCAGGGAGTGTGCTCCCTGGAGATCCGCAAGCCCTGCAGCTTCGACGGTGGAGTCTACACCTGCCGGGCCAAGAACGTCCATGGGGAAGCTTCAGTGGCCTGCAAGCTGGAGGTCAAGCGTAAGTCAGTGGGTTGGGGGTGAGGGGCGTGCTAATGTAATCAACACCCGAATGTGCAGGAGTGGGGAGCCACGCTGTGGCCGGTCAACTCAAAGACAAGTGAGTGGAGAAGATCAGCAGGGGAATGGAGGAAGGATTGTTAGGATGTATTCAAAATAGACGTCTGGCAGGTGGTCATGCAAGTGTGGGAGGGTGACGAGGTCATGACCCTTCACCCATCCAGTAAATTGTATCAGCTTGAAAATGTTTGGTTTTTAAGCTTTTATATTCATAATAGTTTTTCATCCAGAATTTTGAAATAGTGCTCAGTATTTGAAAATACAGCCCTTGACAGTGTTTTTTTAATCAGTCACTTTTCGCTTTGAGATTTTATTCCCTGTGATTTCTGCTGATAAGTTCTGGATTTTCGTGATGCTAACTGGATGGATGGATGGATGGATGGATGAAGTCCTGCCACAGATGGACTGTTTCCAAAAATTATGTCATTGGAGAAAGTTTGATCTGTTTAATTCCTAAACTGACTTTCTCTCAACAGAGGTTATGCTTCCAGATGCAGAGAAGAAATAGAGACACATCCTGATGTAGGCAGGTGGGTGGAACTGGACCCGATACCCTAGTATGAGGAATGATAAGGTCATTAACAGAATTTTGAGGGACATCAACCAGCATCAGTATTTAGTTCGGCATTTCTTCTGATTATGGGTTTGCAAATTCATCGTAGCACCACAAATTAGCTGTGACCATGTTCTCTTCATGCCTTTAATGATGCCAGATTACATTACAGAGGTTGCCCTCATGTCTGTAATGCAGTAACCAACCCGACTTGCTGATTTAACCCATGTGCATCTTGAAATGCCTACTCAACACATAACAGGTTCTCAGCATAACAGGTTCTCAATATTACAGTGATGCTGCAGCAATATGATAGCAGCAATACGATGTCACAGGAACAGCATGGGGGGCGGGTCCTTTTTGGTTGATATTTTTGCTTACGTGCGGCAGGTACAAGCAATTGTGCTTGAGCTTTAACCCCCATTGGTTGAGTGCTAATTGGGGGTGTGGCCAAAGGATAGCTCTTCCCCCAGTACCTTCTAGCAATGTGTCACAAAACATGGCCGCCATCTCCTCAAAGTAAAGGTATAAACACATAACAAATGCCAAAACAAACTGGTTATATTTCACAGACACATTTCATCAGTTGATCTCTGTGGAACTTGCACATAACCTCCTTGCCATCTAAGATAAGAAGGAAATATATTGATCTCTGTGGGAGAAATTTCTTTGCCAGTAGTACAGAAAGAAATATAAAGGATAACAGTAAATATGTAATGGATAGCCCGAAAAAAACAAATGAATTTAAGAGAAGTGTGCAAAACAATGTATGGTCAATCGCTGTTGTGTAAATATCAGCTGTTTAGGAATCAAATGTCAGTCTGATGTGATTGCTGTCTGATCCTGGGGGGAATCGCTTTAGTGACATGGAGCCCATGAGCATTCAGAACCCCACGATTTATGCTTTAAGGCGCATATTTGCTTTTTCTGTTGGAGTCTCAACACACCGGGACAGCTGAGTATATCAGAAGAGTGGTGTATGCGGGGGGCTTCTAAACTCAGGCCACGCAGCCTCTTCCACAGAAAGGCAGTCGGCTAAAAATGACCCCCCCCGCCCATCCTCCACCAGGTGGACCATAGGATCTGTGCTGCTTCTTCACATTTCCCTGACTCAACAGCTGGGGCCCCCCTGGTTTGCCACGGTGGAAATCGCAGGGTTTTTTTCCCTGGCTCAGAAAGCAGTGCAGTGTCGCAGCTCCCGTCTCATGCATTTGGAGAGTTCGCCTCTGAAACACTCAATTTGCCTCCTAAATACACTGAAATATCTGGACACTGACAGACCTCAAATACTTTTGGTGGTGTCTGTTGTGATTTTGGCGGTCTGTTTTCCTCAGATACGGAACATGTTTCCCTGTAGTGGTAGGAACGGCGACCTGCTTAACACGAACGGAATGTATTTCCAGTTAAACATCACTTTTATTTGAACTGGGAATTAAGTATAATGATAATGTTTACTTAATGCATGTGACATTAACGTTCTGACCTTGGGCACTGGATTCTGGGAGCAGATACTATAATTTTGTATTTCTCATATGCACACACACACACACACACACACACACACACACACACGCACAGATCTGTACCCAACTATGAGAACTTTAACCTCTACCTAACCTTAACGAGAAGTAATCAAACTTTTGGAATTTTCAGTGCAGTCATAGATTTTTATAAAACTGAAAAAATGGTCCTCACAACGTCAAAATGACAGGTTTTTATCACATTGTGGGGACATTTGGTCCCCACAACGTAAGGTGTGTGTGTGTGTGTGTGTGTGTAATATATAGGATACTTGATGTCATCCTACGATAAGTTAGATAAGTTACTGGTCATCTTTGCCATCAGAAAGTCGCTTCCGCCTTTTACCTGGCTGGTTTCTGGTCATTTCCAGTGTCTCCTGCTTCATATTATTCTTCTGTACTGCTGTCTTAAAAATGTTGAACCTGGAAGAATCCTGCCACTCAGTGTAGCCTCTGCCAGCAGAACAACGGTTAATATGAGTGGCCTCAATTTTTTTACACAGCTGTAATACTTACAAAACCAGCTGTGTATTACTGTATTTACACAGTAATTATACTTCAGACGTGATATAGTTCACTGTTTTTAGTATTTGTAAGTCAAAGATTTTGTGGTGAAATTATGCAGTAGTAATATCTGTCCATCCTCTGATGAAGTTCTTGAAACCTGTATTACAGTTTCAAATTAGGACCAGCAGGAGCAGAGCTGTTGAAAAGGGTGAGTAAGTTCTTGTCAGGTCACGTAACTAGCACTCGATGAATGAATTCTTGGTAATTTGTCGGTATGACGGCCATGACACTGGGGTACTTGCTGGGACAGGAGATTGGTCGTGGTTGGATGGTCTAGCCAGAGTTTAATATATAACCTGCACAAAAAAAATCATATCGATGCATGAACAGGATTTCCCAAGGATCTTATTTAAAAATAGTGAAGGTTGCAGTTGCTGAATGAGTTGAAAAACCTATATATATATAAACATTGTTGTTTGATGAAAGTACTATAGATCAGGGTTCATCAAATCTGGTCTTCAATTCCAAATCCAGGCCGTGTTTTCAGTTCTCCCAGATAGTTAGTTTAATCATTTCTGATTCTGATTGGTCAGAGGCTTCACACCTCACAGTTGGCTGGCGAATCAGCAGGACTCAGCCCTTGAGGACTGTGATTTGAATAGCCCTGCTATAGATAGAATATGCCTATTATCCAGTGTCTACTAACAACGTTTGACATCTAATTGTCCAATGAAAAGATATTTTATGAAGTGACCTATTAAACTAGTATTAATATTTGTACTAGTTAACATTTGTATTCTTGATAGCCTTTTGTATGGATTACTTTATATTGCTGATTTTAACGTCTTGACACTGATAGCCAGATAGAGCTACTGTAACATAATTGTAGATTATACATACAAAGTGAGGTTAGTTTGTATCTTGTTGACACTGACATATTGGCCTCACTAACAATAATCAATTTAAGTCCATTTAAAACATTAACCTGTTCACTGACAGCAGGCCTCTATTTGTTTCACTAAGGGTGTCTCACTATGTTGTTTTAGTATAATTTTGTAGTTTCTATATAGTTTTTGTGTTCTGAAACAATGGATTTATCATGAATGAAATTGCACTGTTGTGTATAGAAAATATGCCAAGTAATTCTTAGGACACTTACTTAACTCTGACTTTATCTTCTAGAGCAGTTGTGAAGGTGGATGAAGATGGAATGAAACACTGTGATAATCTTGAAGGAGAGAGGGGGGGTGCTTGAGGAGTGTCATGTTCAATGGGGTCTCAGAAGGTTCAAATGACACCTCATCGCAGATCGCATTTGGGTGAAAAATACATCAGTTTTGTACAATAAATGTTAGAATGTAACAATATACCGAATTGCACAAAATTCTTCCTGACTGTGTCCTGTACCGAAAAACTCTGAACAAGTCTGTAACCAAATAAAAGAGCAAATCAACATATACTGCATAATAATAACTGTATGGAAGCTCCTCGATATTTATTCATTAAAATGTATATTTTGATTCTCTGACAAGTTTTTAAAATGTTATAAGTGCTATATATCAGTGTACTTTTTTGCAAGTTTCAAATTTTTGTCTTGTGTTCCAAGAAACATTTTATACCACTGTGACAAGGGAGGGGACAGCTGCATGGGGGACAATAGGGCAGACAGTAGTGCTGTACAGGACAGGACAGACGGCAGTACAATGCAGTACAGGACAGACAGCAGTGCAGTACAGGACAGGACAGACGGCAGTACAGGACAGACAGCAGTGCAGTGCAGGACAGACGGCAGTACAGGACAGGACAGACAGCAGTGCAGTACAGGACAGACAGCAGTGCAGTGCAGGACAGACAGCAGTGCAGTAAGGAAACAGGACAAAGAAGTGCAGCACAGGACAGACAGTGGTGTAGTGCAGTGCAGTGCAGGACAGACGGCAGTGCAGTAAGGGAACAGGACAAAGAAGTGCAGCACAAGACAGACAGTGGTGTGGTACAATAAAAGACAAGACATACAAGACGAAACAGTACATAAATAAAAATAAATATGTGCAATGGAAATAAGGATGCAAAATAGACAACAGAATAGTAAAATAAATATTTCAGTTTCACATGATACATCAGTTATCCATGAGCACACACAGATGCACTATGCTCAAAATATTTTGCTGATACTGCAAAGAAAAGTACTAAAAGTACCACAATGCTCTTGGTTGGTGAATTTTGATTAATACAGGAACTGTTAGCAAACTATGATCATGGGGGATTCATCTGCCAACACTAGAGTGGTGAGTGACTGAACCAGCATTTGACCATGGAAGGGACTGAATTAGCATTTGTTGGGAAGCTGGTCAATGTGGTAAGTCAGCAGCCTGATCACCCCTCATATGCAAATTCACTCAGACCACCTGATTTGGGGGAGGGGGAGGGGGTCATACAGGCTATAAATGGGGGTAAACAACCGTCCTTAATCTGTTTCAATACCTGGTTCATGTGTACACTGTAAAGCAGGGGTCTCAAACTTAAGTTACCTGGGGGCCGCTAGCTATCTGGTGTTCCCTCAAGGGGGCCGCGTGAGAAATCACACAACAAAAAGTGTCCCATCTTTTTCAACCTGATATTTTAAATTCACCTATAAAAACAGCCTCTGATCAATTGAAGGAAAAATGCAATAATACAAAGTAAAGATGAAATGGTTTGAAAACTAATTATAGTGACAAAATTTATCATTGTTATCAGTATTGTCACAGTACTATTAAAATGTGCTGAAAATGTAAAAAAAAAGTACTGATACAGAAACTACAATCATTTCACCAAGTTCTATATTGAAAACCACAAATACATTTAGCAACACTATGCACTTCTTGTTTGTAGAAACTTTAAAATAACAAAACCAATACCTATCTAAACATGAAAATCATATCATCCCTGTATTTCAGACAAATACAAGTATCAGACAAGTTTAAGACTTTAAGACCTTTGTATTACCACTAAAAACAAAATTTTAGACCAAAATGTACATGGAAACATGCATTACCAAAATCAGTTTAAGTCCAGTTCAAATGGACTTAAATGTTGTTGACGTACATTTAGCCCAGATTACCTTTAATCTGACAAGTTATCTGGCTAAGCAAGAAATCCTGCTTCATGATACAGGCCCCTGCTTGGAGCAGGATAGGGTCACAGGCTAAATTACTATGACAACATGTACACTTACTGTACAAGTGAGCTACCTTTTGTAGTACAAAGCAGTCCTCAGGTTAGAAACAAGATCTGTTCCCAAGTCTGTCTATAAGTCAAATTTGTATGTAAGTCAGAACAAGTACATATGGTTCTTATATAGCATCAGTCAAACATGTCTTAGGGTATAGTATGTACTTTACTTTTCTATGTATATAAAACACTTAAAAACTTCCAAATACACTAATGCATCTTAAATAAAATAATACTGTACACAGGGTTGCCGACTCTCACACATCTGGCGTTTCACTCATGCTTTCAGACTCTCACACTCATGCAAGAAATCTTACGGCAAATCTATATTATTCTATTATAAACATAACAGCTACATCAAAATCATTGGGGTAGTTTGCAAACTCTACAGACTATTTAAAATGTGACAAAACTGTTACATACATATAAATGCACATGCATGTGTGTGGAGACTTAATAATAATAAGAATAATAATAATACAGTTATTGTAAAAATTCTGCATGAAGTACTGTAGGCAAACTGGAGAGAGAGAGAATCTGTGCGTGTATGTGTGTAGGTATACAGTACTGTAAAAAACACAACAGTTCAGTCAGAAAAAAAGGAAAAAACATCACAACTGAAGGCTGACACTTGCTCTTGTTCCATCGATGTCTTTCATACCGAATGGGACATTCCTGAGGTAACATTACAACAATTGCTGTAGCTGCACAATGTTTTCATTAGTGTCACAAAGTAGTGCATGCGTTTGTTATTACGAACCATTGTATTTAACTCAAATTTTTTATATGAAGGCTTTATGGCAGTCCATTTGTAAGTACAAGCTGTCTGTAAGTCAGATGTTCTCAACCCAAGGACTTACTGTACTGAAACCCCAAGTAACTTGGTTAAATCAGCTAAACTGATTTTGTGGTATACGCCTTAAGAGTCAGTTACATATAAACTTCAAAATCAGAATAAAAACTCAAAAGCCCACTGCTGATGGCCCAGAATCACTACTGGGAAGCAGGGAGGCAGTGGTGTCATGCTGTGGGAAGGTGGCTGAGACTGGGAATATAGGGAGAAATTATAGAATAATGAATGGATGGATGAATCTTTTAAAGACAAAACGAAACTTTAGAGAAGATTCACGACTGATCACAAGCGTGGGAACGAAGTTATTTAGCGGAGCTCAGAAACCCTTTTAGAAGACTTCAGGAGAACATCGTGTGGTTGTTGCATGACGGTGTTACCCACAGGCTAGAGGCTATGTGTGTTATTTTTAAAGATACTAAAACCACTGAATCACTCAGCAACAGCGCAGGTGACACTGAGCTACGCTCATCGAAATGTAGTTACATTTATAATAATTTATTTAGCAGATGCTTTTGGTCAACAAGAGCTAAAAAGAACAAGTAAAGACCTGCTCACATTTTCCATGCATGCAGGTGTTAATAAAATGTAAACATAATATGCAAATACTTATATACAACAGGTCTGTAGCTGAGATATAAAATAAATGATCGCTTAAGAAAAACATAAAACTCATGAGAACCGTATTCTATGACAAAAACTGATAAAATATTATTAATTGCGATACCAGCTCATTCTAAAGGCATTGACCATGCAGCAGAATAAAAAGCATGTTCTACAGGATTGACCTGCTGTTTCTCAAGTCAATGTTTCCATAAATGGTGGAAGGTTGGTCTGTGTCTCCTGTGTAAAGACAAAGACAAAGGCATCAACAGACACAGACGCACACGGTCAGAGGATGGTGGCCATCGTCACTTACAGTACCTGCACACACGTCTTCTGATCTAATGTTACAGTAAAATGTTTCCTCCTCTTTCCTCCTTTGACCTACAAAGAAAGACAATGGGTCAGTATGGACACTTATTAAGAGAATCATCTACATTTAGATGCATGTTTCATGTGAAACTCATTATGATTTGAGTTTATGTGCATTCTATTGCTAAACAAAACAGCATATATTCATATCACTGACTGCAGATAATATTAAATGAGGCCTTACAAATTCTCACCTGACTTCTTGCAATATTTCACGCAAAGTATGATCAGCACCAGGCTTACGATGAAAACCAGAGAGCCAGACGCCGTGAAAACATACTGCAATCCTAAAGTATAATTAAAAAAAACTATATAAATAAGAAATGTATATTAGGTTCACTCAGAGCCGGTCATCCTTACAGCTGTCATAAGCAGCCACCTAAGGCGAGGTTTTCTGAGGGGGCAGCGACTTAGCAAACCACTGAGCCCCCGCCCCAGTATGACAAAGTGAAAGTGAAACTGTGAGTTTTGTCTAGGGAGCCAGATGGGCTTTCACTGGCACTACGTTCATGGCATTAATAACACAGCAGTATAGTACTCTACTGTAACATGAAACAACAACACCATTAATCTATTATAATATAGCATTTAGTTTACAGACACCATCCATTATTGATACCTAAGATGTGACACACACACATCTTAGGTATCGATATTTGTGTGGGGACACTCCATTCATTTCTATGGGCATACTGCTAACCCAATGACAACAAACACTGAACCCCCAACCCCTACCCAGCCCTAACCTTAACCGTAAGAAACCAAAGAGAATACAAGACTTCTGGCATTTTCGCAGCTTAGATGAGCTGCAGGTGGTTGGCGCACAGCAGGGTGGACCCATGTAACCCTTTCAGGTTATGCTCGACCGGGCCGTAGAGACCCGACTACCAGGCGCCCCCAGGTCTGCCAGGGCCCGGTCTCCCCTATCTGGGCGGGGTCACATGGCCCTTATTCCTAATCATCACGGGTCATCCAGATGTCTACGTGAATTGCCACTCAACTAGGACCAAGGTGCCTTGGGAGCCCCCCCCCCACCACGGTAAGGTGGTGAATCAAGGAGGGGAGATGGGGATATCTGGTCCCTACAATGTAACATATGCATGACAAGACACACACACAGACACACACACTGACACAAACACGCACACACGCACAGACATTAGAAAATATGAAGCTTACAGTTTTATTAACTACGTATTTTTGGACTGTGTGAGGAAACTAGGGCAGCCAGCGAAATTAGGGATCAAAAATGGGGAGAAAATTTGAACTTCACAGACAAAGAACCAAGGGAGGGAACAGACAGACAGAGACAGACATATAGAGGGATAAAGATTACATTATATTATATTACAGTACATTACATTACATTACATTACAGTACATTACATTACAATAGTTACACATTGTTGACCCTAAGGGGAGACTTGCTGGACTACAGCAGAATAGCCTCACTTAAATTGCTTTAAGCAAAAGCTTCTGTTTAATAAAGTAAAATGCAGAGATACAATCAAAGCCACAACCCTGGAGGTATGAGACCGGAGCACTTAAGGTAACATGACAAATACATTAATAAAACAATAATACTTACTAATGATACTGGGCACCAAACCGTTGCTGATTGTGGAGTAAAATGGTTCTTCAGTTGTTTTCCCTCTACATCTGTATTCCTTGTGATAGGAGCCATTCCCAGATCTCACAGTGAAGTTCTGTCCATCCTGGTCTTCAGGAAGCTGAGATCCATCTGCGTACCATGTGTAGCTCCATCCAACAGAGCTTCCCTCAACCTCACATCTCAGCGTCAGACTGTCTTTGGTCAAGATCTGCAGAAATCCAGTATCCACAGCCAGAACAGCCTGTGGGCGAACTTAGAAAATATCATCATTAATCATTCAGATTTCAATGTTTACTGGTAAAAAGGAGATGAATAGCAGAAACCCAAAAGGTGCATAAAACATTAAGCCCTAGTTATTACATGAAACTCATTAAAATTACTGGCTTTATACAAAGAAAATGTGGCTTAATCAAAACTTATAATGAGGTTCATTAGTATGTTTTTAAATGTACCATGAATGTCCACCAGCAGAG